GGGGGGGGGTCTGTATGAGCGCAAATCACTGTAAATATGATTTGGGGGTGGGTTGTAGATCTCATTTGTTGACATTGCAACTGAAACATGGTAAATATTGTACTTCTTACTCTATTACTATTCTCTGACGGCTTTTGTTCACTTTTCAGACTGTACAGACAAAGCGTGTTAATATTGTTTGCAGTACAGAAATAAGCCCACATTGTTTCTCTTTTTAAAATAAACTGGAGTCAAGTTGCTGAAATTGATTTCCTAACTATTTTAGTTCATTAGCTACAGGTCTGTTAGAATTATTCAGATTCAAATCATGATATGAAAATTCCCTATCGTGACATCCCTACTTGTGTGTGTGTGTGTGGCTCCTTTTAGAATGTTTGACTTCATGTCGACATCCAGTGACGTGAGTTTCTTTCCGCTGTGTGCACAGGCTGCTTCATGTCCGCAATGGCAACTGTAAGTACCACCTGGGGGAGGAGACCTTCAAGCTCGCTCAGTCTTACATGGACAAGCTAGCCAAACACGGCCACCTGGCCAACAAGGCGGCGCTGTACGGCGAGCTTTGTGCCTTGCTCTTCGCCAAAAGCCACTACGACGAGGTAAACACGTCTGACCATTGTACACTATAAGGGCAAGTGCTTCTAATTGAAATGATTTGAATGATGGCGTGTGAGTGGTTTACAGCATCACAGAGTTGTTCCACTCCAGATGTCTTTTACCTGCATTTTCCAGGCATACCGGTGGTGTATAGAGGCTATGAAGGAAATCAGTCCGGGGCTCCCTGTCAAAGTAGTGGTTGATGTCCTCCGGCAAGCCTCCAAGGTTAACTATGTTCTTCTATATTACAAGATAATATGGAGTTGTTATTGGGATGTGTCTGCAGGACAGCAGTGTTGTAAAGAAATGTGTCGTCTTTCCGCTGCAGGCCTGCGTGGTCAAGAGAGAGTTCAGGAAAGCAGAGCAGCTGATCAAACATGCCGTGTTTCTAGCGAGGTAACCCGCTGTGTCTCATAGAGACTCGACATTGTTCTTATTCTCTTTCTGATCATGAGTTCTGATTTACTGTTTTGTGTCTGGCAGAGAACATTTCGGACACAAGCATCCGAAGTACTCCGATACGCTGCTAGATTATGGATTTTACTTATTAAATGTAGATAACATATGCCAATCAGTTGCTATTTACCAGGTAAGTCGTAAGGCTCCTAGTCAACTTATATTTCTTTGTTTTTGTGTTAAATTCAAAGTTCTTTCTTTCTGTACAAATTGCAGACAGCGCTGGACATCCGACAGTCTGTGTTCGGGGGGAAGAACATCCACGTTGCCACCGCCCATGAAGACCTGGCCTACTCCTCATATGTGCACCAGTATAGCTCTGGGAAATTTGACAACGCTCTGTGAGTACAATGAATCTCACTAACTGAACTGTTTGTACACCAGCCAGCTAATTCCATAAGACATGAGCTCCCTTGTAGATGTAGCACAAGACCATGAGTCACACTGTGCCCTTCTGTTATGTTATGTGGCTGCATGCTCTGGACATGTGCCATTTCATATATTAAAAAGCAATATCTGTATTTTAGACAGTGATCGATGATGGCAATCGTGTTTCTTTGTATGTTTGAATGATTCACTGACACACTCCCTGATTGAAAGTTGACCTCTCTAACCCTGATGTGAGCTTCAAAACAGCTTGCCTCATGGGAAACGCTTGACTTTCTTGGAAGTGTTTATCCTGAGTAGAATACAGTTCCCAGTCAAGTCTTAAGTTTCATGAATTGTTTGGATCAGCTGCTGTTTGTCCCTCAGATTCCATGCGGAACGTGCCATAGACATCATAACTCATATTCTGCCTGAGGACCATCTGCTGCTGGCCTCCTCCAAGAGAGTCAAAGGTGAGGCGAGTTTCCTGGAGGTTCTGGGCTTCTGCCCACTGTGTGGAGGGTACAGGGGGGATGTCAGGCAGGCATCTGTCTTAAAGCGAGGATAATGGAATGTCCCTAAGGAAAGTTCATGAGGGCTCTCCACCGATTATAATATTTCATCACGATTAATCGCATGATTGTCCACAGTTCAGCACACATTAGTTGCAATTCATCTGTTCAAAATGTACCCTTTTAAATGAAGATTTGTCACGGATATAACATTCTTATTAACATGGGAGTGGACAAATATTCTTCCTTTATGCAAAATGTATTTATTATTGGAAATTAATTAAAACATGTAATGTTCAGAAACCCTCAGATACTACACTTAGCATAAAAATATATACTCGTATCATAAGGTCACAAACTGAAGCCCAACAGGCAACAACAGCTCCGTGTACAGTGTACTTTGTTTAATGTAGGGCTTTACTGAATGTCTTTTTTCACATTATGAGCCTCTATTGATGTATTAAAATGAACCTTTGAATGTCTGCGTGCTATTTTATGATTTCATCTCCCTAAAACAAATGGGGAAAATATGATTTTGTGCCGCTGTGGTTGTATAAATGTGACTCATGGTGCTGTTGGATTGCTGATAGACCCCTCTGTGAGTACCGGGTCAGCAAAATGCTGATGTCGGTGCATGCGACCGAAGTTCCCCCTGCTGGTAACAATAATGCTAATGTCAGGAAGCCTCACTGATTGCTGAGTCGAGTACAATAGTCTACCGCTGTAGTCTCTCCTAACTCCCCCGCTACCTTTGCTTTATGGTCTTTACATAAGTTGTGTATATTCAAGGCTGGGCTGGATCGCGAAGGCAGTTCATATGTGCAGTCCAAATAATTGAATGCAGACCTGCGCTAAGGCCTCCGATATTTGTGGTGTTTTAACTCTTTTAATATGATCTTTCATATTGTGTGTGTGTGAGTGCGTGTGTGTGCGTACACTGTTTGAGAAGGTAACAGTGAAGTGATGGTTAACAAAAGAATGACATAGGGCTGTGGCTCCGCTGTTCAGTCCTGGGGAGAAGTCTAATGTGTGCTTGGTGTGTTTCCCTCAGCTCTTATTCTGGAGGAAATCGCCATCGACTGTCACAATAAGGAGACAGAGGAGCGCCTTCTTCAAGAGGCTCATGACCTTCACCTCTCCTCACTGCAGCTGGCAAAGAAGGCCTTCGGAGAGTTCAACGTCCAGACTGCCAAGCACTACGGCAACCTAGGACGACTCTACCAGTCCATGAGGAAGTTCAAGGTGGATGGACATTATGATGTTGTGTGTGTGTCCTATCCAATTCTCGCATTCTTTTTCACTGAAATAATTAGGCATTAAAGAGTAACTCAACCCATAACCCCCTACACCACTTTCTTCAGCTGACAACCAATGCAGTTGTGTATGTAGTAGTGTTGTTGATGGATTCAGGTCCAAATCTTGACATTTTAGTGCAAAGTGTTAGAATTCTACATATTGTGTTAAAATGTGCATAGAAACTGCCCTCTAGTGGTTAAACCCAGATGTTGCATTTTCATTTTGCTCTGGGCTGATTTGGAGCCACAATTTTCTTATGTGTCCATCTTCAAGAATTGATACAAGCAGTGAGTTTACTCTGAACTCTCTTTATTTAGGAAGTGCTTTCAGACATCTGACAACAATCTATAATATAGAAAGCTGCATCTTTTCAATACTAGTATCTGATTCGTCTTAGAATCAAGTCATTTCAGCACCTCTACTGATAACTGACCTGTGGTTAAAATGTCTGAAGACTACAGTCATGTGCCTGTATGTCCATTGAAATAGAGCTTGCTTGCTGTGATCCTTTCTCCGGTTCATACTGGCCATTAACAGATCCCCCCCCCCGATGCTCTTTCAGTGGAAGTGATGAGGGACACAATGTGTACAAACGCATTCTAAAGTTCATCTGAAGATAATTTGAGGCTTCAGCAGTCTAGAAGATATCGACATAATTTGTGTCAAATGCAAAGGGGCCAAAGGTGCATTACAGACATGCATCTGACCCAGCGTCAAGGGGCCAGGTCTGCCTGGTGTAGCTGACCAATCATAGCACAGTAGTACCAGCTGATCACAGCATGAGGAAGTGACTTGGCTTTGCATTTTTACCTTGATGTGAGATCCATATCTCTATCTCTGTGTGCTTGTGTAACCAGGAGGCAGAGGAGATGCACATCAAAGCCATACAGATCAAGGAGCAGCTTCTGGGCCACGAGGACTACGAGGTGGCTCTGTCTGTGGGTCACCTGGCCTCCCTCTACAACTACGACATGAACCAGTACGAGGACGCAGAGAGGCTCTACCTGCGCTCCATCGCTATCGGTCAGACACGGGGTGGGATGGATGGGTCACACATGCTGGCTGTTCTTCAGCTCTTACTTCCTCTCTTTACTGTACAAATGATACCTGAGCTGCTGAATAAGCAAGCTGGTAAGGCTTCCTATAAGGTCCTATGAACTGAGCCGGTTAGCCATTCTCCATAGGTCACCATGGTGATTTAGCAAGCCTGCTTCTCGGTCCCACAGAGCCTGGTTTAATCATGGCTGGATAGCTTTGTAACACAGGCCTGTAATCACTCCTGTGTCTCTTGGATTCCAGAAAAACACTGTTTTTCTTTTCTGCTCCCATGAGCACTCACCCAAAGCTACCAGCTGAGTTGGCCTGACTTGATCTGCTGCTCTCTTGATGCTTAATGTCTGCCCATGGCTGAATAGCCCATGGTGGGGCATCCAGTTAGCTACCAGCAGCCTGTTCAGCAGAACATTTCTGGATTAATCACTTGATCTCATAAACATCAGAAAATAGCTTTTTTTTTTCAAAAGGTAAAGCAGTAAAGTATCAATTGGCAAGTTGAAATAAGGAGAAGTTTAACATTTCTGCAAAAAATGGACATAAAGTGCAATGTGTAATACATGTGTAATACATGCTCCAAACAATAGATGTCAGCATTTCTCCTCTGCTACTGGAACTACGAACTTGCAGCAGGACAAGACTACGCAGAATTCAACCAAACTGCTGAAGCTCTGAGAGCCGGTTGAAATAACCCTGCTACCTTATCATCTCTGTGTGTGGTGTCTATTGTTTGTTCACTGCGAACTAACCAGGGGCTGTACGCTCTGTGTAGGTTTTAATAGTTTGTTCATTACAGCTAAAGTGGCCTCAAATCATGCTTAACTTTAAGCCTCAATATAATTTAAACGGGGGAGTTGCCGCTTGATTGCAACTAATGGATTATCGGAAGATTTGACAATGCATGTTTAGTGGTTTGACCGATCAATGAATCGCTCTAGAATGATGAAACACGGTGTGTTGTGTCCTCACAGGTAAGAAGCTGTTTGGAGAGGGCTACAGTGGGCTGGAGTACGACTACCGAGGCCTCATCAAACTCTACAACTCAGTGGGAAACTATGAGAAGGTGTTTGAATACCACAATGTACTGTCCAACTGGAACCGGCTGAGGGACCGGCAGTTTGCCGTGGCAGATGCCCTGGAGGATGTCAACACTACGCCCCAGCAGACCCAGGAGGTGGTACAAGCGTTCCTATTGGCTCAGAGCCTGGGCCCCACCCGGCCCTGTCTCGGCTGATTTTTATGAGGGAAGAGAGGGAATAAGAGACACGTGGGCTTTAGTCTGGTGAGGACACGTACTAAGCCCCAATGTGATGCTTCAATTGCACACAGTCAATTAGTAATGCACAGTAAATTCAAGCGTCACCGGCGATTTGTTGGCTTTATAGTCTCTGCAGATGCCAGTACACACAGACATACACACACATTTAGCTGTGCAAAAAAACAAAGTAGAGACACCATTATCAAACCTCATGGACATTTCTACACCACCAAGATGCAGCTCCAGACTGGATGCAGCTTCACCCCACAGAGCGGACCGTTTCTCTGAGAGAAAGAGGAACCATGACTGAGCGGGAAAACCCCGCAACCATCCTGTAAGGATGACAAAATGATCTCTTCTCTCGCTCGCCTTTTTTCTTTTAATTTTGGAATCGGAGGAGATTTCAATTTTTTTTTGTATTTGAACCAGTGTATCTCTGAATGCCATGAGACACATCGCAGATGGAACCATGTTTCTCCAGGGCTCTCGACACAACAGTGACTGGACCCCAAGCTCATCTGTGAAAGACTTTGAACCCACATCAACTTGGTGGATCAGAGAAAGAAAATGTCAGATATTTTTGACACTTGTACAGTAAAATAATACAGCAGATTGTACACTTGTTTTTTTTTTTTTTTTTTCCTTTGCAAAGAAATGAAAGTAGACCCTAACAGAACTGCTCGTTGGAGAGAGATTACAAACAGTGGAATGTGTTCATCCAGTGGGTATAAAGTTGCACACCGCTCTTGTTTTCACTATATATTTCATCTGGTTTTATCTCTGTTTCCAGCTTAGTACCGACAATAATTAAAATGCCAACAATTTATATGTAAACAAGTATGTTTATGGCACCCTTTGTATATGCTTTTCTTACTGAGAGAGCCATGAAGTCTGAAGAAAGGCTCCACACTTTTACTTTAAACGAGGGGTGTGTGTCTGTGTGTTTGTGTGTGTGTCTGTCTGTGTGTCTGTCTGTGTGTGTCTGTCTGGGTGCCCAAGTGCTCTACTGATGATTACCAGCCTTACACCAGCTTGCAGTTATCTGTCTGTAGACGGACCCGTACTCTTAAGTGCTAAATACACTATTCTACCCTTAGGGGCACTACGATGGGGACCTATATTTGTGTGCATGTGTCGTTGACCTGTGCATCGTTCCTCTCCCTCCTGTCAAACATCCCTTGAATGCAAAGTCTCACATATTTGGTTACTGGACCATGTTTTTCCATCAGCCTGACCACACTGACTGTTGGTGTCTAAAGCCCATCAGTTGTTTCATCTTACAGCTTAACTCCTGCTTGAAAGGGTGCTGCTCTTTAATCATAATGAACCAATGGGAGAAATAACCCTGAACACAACCAATAGCATCTGTTTTTTGTTTTTCTTAAATCTTGCCCTGGGGCCCAGTTTGTTGTAACTCGTGTCCATGAAAATGAATCTCTATCAGTCTGATTCTTCAGACAGGCGCTTGTCTAAATGTAGCACTTTGAAACGATCAGATCACTTTACCAGAAGTTTACAAGTTACCGACTTAGGCCTGTAGAGGTAAAACCATACAGTATTCTGAAAGCTTAAACGTCATTTCTGTCGTACAGATGTGTGTTCTTCCTACCGTGGGAATCATTGTGCGACCCCCAATGTGGTTCAGAACCACAGTTTGGGCATCACTGCTGTAGTGACACTTTAAAATGCTACAAATGAAATCCCATACACGTGTATTGTATTTGGGTGGAGGCAGATATGTCAGAGATGGTGATCTCTAAACCTTGGTGAAACAGAATAAACTATTTGCATGGCTAAATACCATTACAGGTAAGTTAGAAATAGATGTTCTCATAATTTGGGTGAACTAACCCTGAAAAGTCCTCGGTGTGTGGTCATGGATGAAGTGAGACGAGTATTTCTGTAGAGAAATAACGATGAGATTTTCTCACTGATGGAAAGTGTTGTCCAGCTTTAAAATGAATTCAGGCATTAATATCTGCAACGTTGTTGAACATGTGACGCCTTTGTTAAGCGCCCCACTGTTTCCTTCGTCTAAGTGAATGAAGGAAACCAGCTTTGCCTTGCTGTTGCTTCAGTGCTCTCAGACGCCTCCCTCTCTAGCAGGGATGTGAGTGGCTCTAGCTGAGGAGGTCCAGCCTTAGCCCCCTTAAAAGGACGCTCAGCTACACTCTCGGTGCTTCGGCCTCAACAAGCACGCCCTCTCTCTGGGGAGATGGCGAAACGGTTTCCAGGGCAGAGGTGGAAATGAATGTTACCTGCAGTCTGTACTTCCAAAAAGTTCTGTACTCGGATAACAGATTAGATTTGGACAATTTACAGAAAACGGCGTATTGCAACAGTTTGGCTTGTGACAAATGGTCAATACATATCTTTGTGTCCAAAGTAAAACATAATGGAAACCTGTACCCTCAGATACTCCACACTGTCAGATGTCATCATGGGTAATCCATCCTCGTGTTTATTCTCTTCTCTCCTCCAGTTATGGACACATGTCGACATGTTGCATTGCATTCTGGTCTATTAGGGCTACTGTTTTGGAGCCAATGTTAAGTGATTTCTGCGGTGGATTGTTCTTTGTACCGAGCGTGAAAGTCTGAGAAAAGGATCTTTTTCACTGATTTGAACACAAGGCCTTTTCTGTCCAACCTCCAGCGTCACTGTCGATACGTCACGGTCACATCCTCTGCTCGGCCAGCAGGGAAACATGGATCCACAGATGGGATTAGTTTAATGTTGAAGTGTCTACGGGTGTTTGTCCTATATCACTAACGCTGAGAGACGAGCAGTCCGGTGGAATGTACGAGACGTGGTTTGACTTGACAATACCTACTGGTCTTTATTGTGATGATCTGATATCTGAAAGGGAATACCATAGTTCCAGTGTGGGGTGGGAGGGGTTTCGAGGGAGTGGGCTTGCTGGGAAAGATGGACAAAGTTAAAGATGTTCAATAAAGCTGTGATCTCTCCAACAGCCCTGTTTCTCTCTCCAAGTTCAGCTGATCGACACCAGATGTGACGAGGGGATGTTTCACTGTTGTCCTGTTACTGCTTCACTGTTAGCTGCAAAAACATTAAAACGTATATATCATTGATCACAAAAGCCACATGCGTTTCTCTCTCTTGTGTTCGCACCTTAGAATTCATTCACGTCTCAATTAAACGAAACTTGGCCAAACAAATGTCGTAAATATACAAGAAGAGTTGATGGTACCTAAATGTATTTAATATCACAGCCCATTCAGTTTCCTTCCTTGGCTGTTAGGCCTTATGTTCCATGAACAAGCCCCTCTGTGAACAGCTTCACAATACAGACTGGACAGATGGTGTGTGAGTGAGTGCTGCTGATGTGGAGATTTCTGGCTCAGAAAGAAGCAGCTGTTAAAGATATTTATTGTTAAATTCAAACATTTGTCAGGACACTTCAGGTGAATAGGGTAAATAAAGATTACCTAATCTATACCACCATGAAACGTCCCCAGTTTATAACTTACATGAAGAGAATTTATTTTTTGAATACAAGCTTTCTGAAATAATTTGTTTAAAAATAAACAGCTAAATGTGTATTTTGGATGTTTTTTCTTTCCACTAGTCTGAAAATAGACAACATCCGTTTTGTTCTTTGTTGTTGCCTTGGGTGTCTCAACTTAATAGAAATCTCTGCTAGAGAGCAGACAATGCTATTTCAGACAGTAGAGTTATACCCAACCAACTTCGTGGCAGTTTAGAGAATGCCCATTGGTGTTTGAACAGTACAATCCTGAATGTGTGTCGTCTAACTGTGTTGTACAGTAGGTACACAAGGACCACTCTTCTTAGGACTGTCTTTCAGCATTTTATTGCAAGGCAGCAGTAATGGCAACAGGATAACCTCCCTGAAACAAAGCCTTCATCGGGTCTCTCCCACATCAATGCTCTCGAACTTCTGGAAGTCCAGAACGAAGAGAAAGAGCATAATTCACGGCCATATTACAAAAAGATAAAAAAAAGTCAAGATATTCAAACCCCACAAACATCTTTCTGGAAAATATTACTACCCATGCAGAAACATGGTCTCTACAGCACACTGAAGTGTTGCAAGCTACCTAGCAGCACGGCTACACCTGCACAGCTCCATGAAGAAATGTTTTTTTCCACATTAGTTTGGAAAAACTTGCCCGTCCTCCACAGAGCCCTGACAAACACCCTCCAATGCCCCTGGGATGAAGTGCTCTCATGTCAGGACGGAAGTAGGGACAAAATAACCTTCCATTACTCACAGACAACTTGAACAGAACTGAAAATAATTTGATCCCTGAACAGAGACAAGTGTCTGCTGCTTATAATTTATCACGTTTTTTAGAGCCCAACCCAAACGTGAAATATTGTTAGATTCAAGCCTACAGGGAGTGCAAAATGCTGCCTCCCTGGGACAGTTGGGACAGTTGGGACAGTTGGGACAGAGGGTAGTGTCGTTGAAAATTGAAAAAAATCAGTCCAAACGTGACCACCTTATATTTACGTGAAATATTCTCTGTTTGGTAGACGTCTAATCAACTTTCACATTTTCTTGGGAGAAAACCAAATGTGGCCTGAGGCCAGTGTTCACATAAAGGTGCAGCATTGTTCCAGCGTAGACAGGGCAGCATAACTCTGCTGAGTGGCTTTCAGTTCTTTTTCTCTTCTGGCTCGTCATTGATGAGGTATTTGATGTGTGTCCACATACACCATATCTGCAGAAATAATATAATTAAATAGGAAATTTGAGCAGCAACTATTTCAACACAACTTCAACTTTTGTCGACATGATGTTTGTGCTTATCAAAGGTTATTCCTACCTCCACTGATAGAGCCAGCAGGCGACCTGCAGCCAGCAGCACAGTCCCCAGAGCCTGGATCCAGAGAGGCAGACCCAGCCAGTGGGTCAGTAAACCCCACCGACACCCATAGAGCCACAGGGGGAGGCCGTGCAGCCCGCTCACCACCCATGTGCCAAGAGGTGTTCGAAACCCTAACAGCAGCAGATACACAGTTCATGGAATCTTGTAATGGATCTTGAGCTTCACATTAACATGAACGTATTCACAGTGACAGGCTTGTTACCGTTTGCCATGACGGCTTGGATGAATGGAGGGCTGGTGATGAAACTGTTCTTCCAGTGGTCACCTCTGGCATTGTGGTTACACACAAACACACACCACTCCAAAGCAGACACCAGCCAGCCCCACTGCAATAGGACACATAGAAACATTTAACACCATGTTAGAAATGGTGCTGTGCAAGACACCTCTGCTTAAAATAATCTTTACACACACGGTTGAGCATACCGCGTGGGTGTTCTGCTTGATGTCACAAAAACCAAGACGCAGAACAGTAAAGGCTACTGCTGGTGCAGCAAGGATTAATGAGGATTCATTTCTTGGCAGATACTCGGCTCCTTTGTACCAGCTGTATGCAATCATTTCATGTGTAGCTACTGTATATCGAAGGCTCATTCTAAACCATTCATTTTATGATAATCGTATAGGAAGCTCACAGCCTAACGTGAGCACTTGGTGTGCATGTGTGTGTGTATACTATACTGTTTGTGTTGCGTGTTCTGCAGCCAGCAGACCTGAAAAAGCAGACTCCACAGCAGGCCTCTGCCCAGGTTGTCCACCACTACGTCCAGCCAGGCTCCAAACCTGGAGGTCTGGCCCAGCCTCCGTGCCAACCAGCCGTCCACTCCTGCACAGAAAACATCATCACATACTGCAGACACAATGTTCATGTCTTGTGCACTCAGCAACTATTCCTCCTGGCGAGGCCTTTTGGGGTTATGAAACAGGACGCAACTACACCTACATGCAAAACCTTAGACTCTGCTCTACACTCATTCAGTCTCACTATAGGCATTTCATCAATAATACCTTCAATCAATCACACCACTTGAGTACCATAGGCAGGCATGCCACTGAGTTAGCATGCACAATATCAGAGACCTAAACAGAAACCATAAGGGTATGTGGCTGTGATTAATGTCATTACACCTGCCATTTTTAATAATGCAGTCTTAAACTGGTGCAGAACATCTACCAGCAGCACAATAGGCCATTTCACAGCAGACATGTTATCACAGCTAAGGCACAGTTGTTGCTAATAGCATTAACAATGGGCCCGTTGTGTCCAAGTGTCCCAGTAAGACATGACAGTGAGCCATTTATTATTTATCTTATTAGTTACACCTGTGGCTGTATTTTATGTTTACTGAACAATAAGAAAGTTCAATACAACATTGGTTCTACTGGAATGTACTGATGCCAGAATAAACCAGTAAAAAGCCTCAGAGCCTTTACCATCAAGTGCTATGTGGGTTGAGTAAAGAGGGACAAAGACTGCTGGTGTCTCACAGGAAGCCCATGCAGCAAACACAAGGCCGATCCTAACGTAACCTGAAAGAGACAAATACATAATACATACACAAGGTATTAGGACAGCCAGGTGAAGGAACTCTTCAATTCAGTGGCAGACATCGAGCACTTCCTAAAGTTACCGAAAGGTCAGTTCAAATGATTTACGGTATCATCACAGGGACATCTTTCAGTGTCAATGTTCTGCCAATCATCATCGAAATAAAGGCTCCTATACTATACTATACTATTCTATAATATAATATACTATTCTATACTATAATATAATATAATATACTATTCTATAGTATAATATACTATACTATAATATAATATTCTCGCAGTCTGGCTGCTATGTTTAGTAGGCTAATGGCCAAGCAACCCGGGTTGTCATGTCACAGTGACGGCCAAGTAACCCGGGTTGTCATGTCACAGTGACCCGACAGTCCCGCACATAACACAAATATAAAATAAAATTTCTTGAAATTCAACCAAATGTGTCTCACCAATAATATTCGGCCAGTACAGCAGAACCTGGAGTCCCATCTCCGTGTCAGTTGAGCGGGACAGCTGTGCCTTATCCCGGGAAAAAAAATAGAGAATGCAACCTGCTTTGTAAGACGACTTGTCGAGGCATCAAAACGAGCTCACGCACGTTATGATGAGGTACATTCATGCTTTCATTCCCGCGGCTTCCACGAGCTGCTAAAGTCAGCTCGGGCAGCTTTGTGTGGTGCTGCGCGCGCTGTCATGTTGCTCACGCCAACTACGGCTAAAGGTGACGTAGGAAGCGGGCAAAGCTATTTTACGAACACAGCGTCACGCCAAACTCCATTCTAAAACATGGACACATAGAAGCACCTGCCGAAGAGGAGGGCAGCATTAAAAAAACATTTAACATTAACGGTCCACTAAGGACCAGTAAATGTCTTTTTTTACATTTAAGGATTCATTTTTGGCCGTTAGTGTCCTTTTGGTGGAATAAAATAGAAGACGAACAAATGAAACAGTTGAAATGTATTGAAGGTGTCGTTCGTGTGTTGGATACATGCTGAAGTCATGAATATAATACAATACTATTATAATATTTGATGTTCTACGTCAAGAGTGCTTCGACTGTGAGCCAGCCAACATCAAACTGGTACATTTAAAAAAA